GCATGTATTTCCACTATACATCTAACAGCGTGGGCCAAAAACCATTGTCGCATATTCAGACTTTAATATGCAAGTTACTTAAAACCGGTTACTACCCAGTAATTAAACACAATTAATTACGATATGTTAGGCCATTATTATTTGATAAAAGTTGGTAATCTTTGATCTTCATCCAAACTCCTTGAAATTTACGTTAGCATAGCTTGATTTTCAGGTATATCAAAATGCGAACAAATGTATTTCCTTAACAAAATGTTCAAAATATATTTTCATCGTTCCGCTGATTCAAATGCGTACCTTACAGCACAAGATGTCATTTTTTCCTTATTCACAAAAACAAATCCAAAGGAATAAAACTGTCGCCCTAAATTATTTCATTTTTTGCGCCCCATACTTATTTTGAGAAGTTTATTATTGTGTAATAACAGTTCTATTGTACTGAAAACTTATTGTTGTTTCACAATAAAAGAGTAAAATAAACAAATTTGAGAGTATATCTTAGACAAACAAAGACTTTAACTATTTTCTTCATGTCAGCAAATATGGCGGTAAACACTAAAATAGTGTTAGGTAATAAAAAGACCCGAATAATAAATTATAGCTTCATATAACGAATGACGATGATACTATATTACACTGGAAGTAAATGCGCAAATTATGTATGCATTTCTTTTCGAAAAAATAAAATAAAGGACAAACTGAACAATATCAGGAAATTGCGTGAAAGGCCTCACTTGGTTGAAAGAAGTAAAGGATAATAAAATAACACAAAAACAGCGATTTTAATCCTGTCATGAAGCTTCTTGTAACATCCAGGAGAAAACCTAATAAACTATGAATTTCCTAGTTCATTCTTTCCTTGAAAGGTGAATTATCTATGTAACATTGTCACATTTTTTTTAGATTCGTTGGGCACAATTAATCTTGTGTAGTGTCACAAGGCTTAGATTCTGTTTTATAATTTGAATAATTCTTCATGAAGTAATTTCTTTGGAAAACCTCCAGCTATATTTTACTACACAAACAACTACATAAACAAGCTGAAATAGGTTTAATTTACTTTTTGAAATCTTTGTAATAAATAAAAGTGAACGCTTTGATCAGTTTAAATAATGTGTTTATAAGGTCATAAATTCTCTCTCACTTTCATGACATTGCATACATGTCCCCCCCTAGTGACTCAGTGGTACGCCTGCGTGTTTGCAACGCTAAAAATTAGCTTTATGTTTAACAACCAAAAATGTACATGAATGTTAAATTCAAAGTGGACAGTAAGTCATTGCTAAATCAGTGTAGACCTAATTCAAAACACGTAAACTACTTAAAAACGAAATATGTTTATATACATGCATATAGTTTAAGTAATAAGTGAATTTTCATAATTGTTTGGATGACATTATGTTTTCACAATAAAAATACCTTCAAAAAGTCACTCATTCAGCACAACGTAGGTTTACAAGTGTTTGTAGTTCATGGTTTAGGGGCGTTTCTTTCAACCTCAATCCAGTGTTTTTGCAGAGATTATCCACGAAAGTAAGTGAATGTCTTTCGCCCTTTCTTGTTCCATGTTTAGACCTCCTCCTTGCATCTTCTTAAGCACTGGTCAGCAAAGCTAATTATTATTTTTCAGCTTAGTTGAAAGCCTTTCCATCTCTCTGCATATATCTTAATTTTTCATCTATCTTTCAATTGATGTTAAGTACTGCTTTTAAAAGTCTGTTTTGCACTTAATTCAGTTTCTTTTCTTATATATTGGTCAATGTTTATGTTTCCTATCCATACTCGCTACTGTTGCCTAAGACTCTGATCTTGGTTCTTTTAGGTTAGTTGAGTTTCCAAACTCTCTTCGCCCTATCACATAGTGACTATGCCTATCCTATCCTATTCTTAAGATCTGTTTTTGTGCATGTTATCCAAGCCTCTAGATATTGATAATTTTTCCCTATATCAAGGGTATTTCTAGCGTCTGAAATACGGTGTTCCATCATGGTTTTGTACTAGCAGGAAGTTTCCTAATTACCTCGTGTTACAATTCCTGAATGAATACTAATGGATTGATTATTTGTTTCTTTATAATATTTCGTAGGTTACAATACATACTCATGGAAAATACGTTACATTGAGCTTGTGTGATGAGAATTTTTTACAAGAATTGAACAAGGGCTACTTGCATGTAGTAGTTCTCCTGATTTTGAAAAGTAGACTAGAGGGAAAGCAACTGAACAACAGCAAGAACTCTCGACTCTTAAAATACTCTTGTCTGGCCGAATAGTGAGATTTCAACATCACTCTTATAGCACGGCTACGGCCACAAAGTTCGGAGCGCCTTTTTTTACTGTAACGGGACGCGAGGCGTGGACCGTCGGATGTACAGACTGAACATGCCAATCATTAACCCATGGTAGCCCACTTAAATGTATAATGTTTTAAACTGAACTGGTGTCTGTTAATATATTTTAATATTACTAAATTAAAGGTGAGAGGTAGGCTAATTTTTTCAAATTAAAGTGTCGCCTGCGTGATTTTTTTTAACTTATAACCTTTTAAATTTTATATATTTAACTTTAAAATAATGTAAACTAGAATATTCTGTCTTTTGTTTTTTAACAGATGGTGTATTTCTTGACGAGGCTTTATGGGAATATTGAAATTCGTGACACCTAGGAACTCGGCCAGAGTAGACAAGAATATAAAATATATTTATTTAAATTATACATTTTTATGGTCGTGGATCTGCAGAAATTGAAATTGACAAATAATATATTCCTTATAAGCGCAACTTTAGCATCAGGAATTTTTGTGATCGACTCTTAGCAGTTGAAAAAAATTCGTTTAAATTCAAGTAATGCATACTTTTTAAATCGCTCACACGTTTTCGTCTTTAAAAAGCTCTCAGTCACGTATTTTAGTATCTTTGATGACATACAGGAATAAATGAAATCGTATAGAACATGCACACTTATCTACAGGAAGGTAAGAACAATTTTCACACTTCTAAAGTGAAATGTGAAGCAAACTTCATGGAAATTGTTTGTTTGTTAGGAATTTTGCGCAAAGCTACATGAGGGCTATCTGTTCTAGCCCTCCATAATTTAGCAGTGAAAGAGTAGAGGGAAGGCAGCTAGTCATCACTACCCACCGCCAACTCTTGGGCTACTCTTTTACCAACGAACTGTCACATTATAACGCCTCATCGGCTGATAGAGCAAGCATGTTTGGTGGGACGTGGATTCGAACCCGCGACCCGCAGATTGCTAGTCAAGTGCCCTAACCACCTGGCCATACGGAGCCCTTTATGGAAATACTCGAACTACTGTTCTAACAAGATTTTCTCCTGAGCATGGAGTAAGGAGAATTGTTAACACATATACTAATGATCTGTCTAGATTTATGATGAGATACATAATACATGTGTTAATACTAAGAGTAGTTTGGTACATGTTCGAACCTAATATGGTATCAGATATTCACAAGAAGTATCTTAAGATACTTAATGTTCGGGTCAACAACAGTTACTGGATCCTGAAGCTGAAATAGAAAGAAAATACGTTATATATAACATATATAAATATATATATATATATATATACAACCAAAACATCAATAAGATTCACCTGTGGATATGAATAAGAAAACACTGGAATATCAAACTTTTTTCTTCTTTTTTTATTAATTTCTTCGTATATCATAACAGTGTAGAAACTGCAAGGTATCATTCCTTTGTATCACCAAATTATGTATATCATAAAAGTGAAGAAACTGCAAGATATCACTCCTTTGTATCGCCAAATTATGTATATCATAACAGTGTAGAAACTAAAAGGTATCATTCCATTGTATCACCAAATTATGTATATCATAACAGTGTAGAAACTGCAAGGTATCACTCATTTGTATCACCAAATTATGTATATCATAACAGTGTAGAAACTACCAGACATTCCCCCTTGCAGTTTCTACACTGTTATGACATACGTAAAAATTAATTAAAACAAGAAAAAAAGTATGATATTCCAGTGTTTTCTTATATATATATGTGTGTGTGTATGTATGCTCAAAGATTGAAAACCATAATACTCACAGATTCACTGTTACAATACAAGGTAATCATAGAAAGAAATTAGCTGACTTTAGAAATATGACGTTTCTTAATTTCCCAATATCATCAAATAATCATATTATGTATTTTCGTATTGTTCTGGTACTCGTTTAGTTTTTTCTAATGTTTTCTTTTCATAACAAGAAGTACAATTAAACTATACAATAAAGACTATGAAAAAACGTTTGCCTATTAATGTTACTCAAACTGAAATGAAATTAAAATTTACTGTCAAATTTACTCCATGATTTACAAATAATGCCGTGTACAATTTTCTTTCTTAACTTCTACTTCTCCATATAAATAGTAAATCCATACAACAGCTAAGATGAATTGGATTTTAATATAATAAAATATGAATTATTTTCAGTTGCCTGTTGTAACGGTGCAACTTTAATTGGTTACATATATTGTATTTTTTGCCAAATTTGGATGTCACATTAACATGTGTTGTGCATTTGAAACTAAAACACTTGAAATGTCAAAACTCTTAAGTTTTGCTTGAAATATCAATTTGAAAATATAATAAAACGTATTTATAGAGGTTAATATAAAGTATAATTTATGTTCTAAAACTCAGCTTACATGTAGCTGAGAATATCTGCTACATCTGAAAATAAGCCAAATGTTATTTGTATTTTATATTCAGGTAATTTTATATTATTCTTTCAAATTATTTTCCAACTTGCCATCGCATAATAACAAAGCAGTCATAATTTCATTTAATAATTTTGTAGAGTTGCTCACCATTTGCCTTATTCAAATAATAAACAGAGATGTGTACTAGGCAGATGAGGATACCGAGTGCGAGAATTACGAGGTTGAAACTTGGAGGGCGGTAATTATTTTTCATATATTTAAAAATCGATATTTATTACTTGTAATCTCTTTTCTTTTTTAGAAACGTCAGGAAACATCTGGAATGATGACATTTTTCAAAAAACATTACGCTGGCGGATAAGAACAAAACGCTGGACATCCTCGTCTCTGTCCACTGATTATTGGTCATTTGTGCAGTCAATCTCCCCTTCTTTCGACAAAAGTGTAGCTAGTAATGTCACCACTCAGTTTGGTCAGACAGTATATTTACATTGCGTGGTCAACAATCTGGGTGATAAGACAGTAAGTAACAAATTACTAATTTCTTTCTATGTAGCAACCCCCAAAAAATTAGGAGATTTGGTAGAAGTTATCTACGAAATTCGTTAACAATGTGGACTTACTAATGATCACAATAACTAATTGTATAAATCTATTGAACTTTAAAAACTGAACTCGTTAACAATGTGGACTTACTAATAATCACAATAACTCATTGTTTAAATCTATTGAACTTTAAAAACGGAACTCGTTAACAATGTGGACTTACTAATAACCACAATAACTCATTGTTTAAATCTATTGAACTTTAAAAACGAAACTCGTTAACAATGTGGACTTACTAATGAGCATAATAACTTATTGTTTAAATCTGTTGAACTTTACTCATAATATTTACATTATGAAATATAGCATATAATCTTGCGTAGAAAATAGTGCGATGGAAAACAGTACTCTTGTTTTGAAAAGAATATGAATAATTATATATATGAAATTAAAGTAAGGTTTTGAAACTTCTGTGTATTATTTTCATCTTTGTTGACTGTACTTATGAATATACAAAACAAACACCAAATAAATATTTATAAAACCATCAAGTAGTCGCTTTAGTTGCATATAACATCTGATGTTGCACAATCCTGTGTTTATGATGCAAAATAAAACATTAAATTCTCTTCTAACAAAACGACTGCATAGAATCATGGTACTAACGAATTACTTTACTCATAATGTACTGATATTTCAATATAGAGAAATGCCAAGTAACTCAATTCAAATCTCTATTATAAACCACAATGTTCGTATTAAGATCGTTGACACATTCGACCTTTTTAATAATGTTCGTTATTACAATAATACATAATCAGGAATTATTCATATTAATGCACAGAGTCAATCATGAGAGATTTGGATAACCTATTGATGTGTTACTGTGTTATTTTTTCTCTGTTGATTATGTTGTTGTTTATAGCCTATCGACCGTTCCTGAGGAAAAACATCACTTGTCGATAACATACCGATTTGTTAAACATAACTTTTATGCTCGATCACTGCCTAGCTTGCCTGACTGAGAATTAAATATATATTTTCATTACACAAAGTACTATATTATTTACTTCTTTATAAAATTCTTTCCAGCCTTAATTAGTTAATTATTCAATATTTTCTGAAAATATTTCTAGTTGCATCTCATCTGAGAATTCATCAAGTTCTAAGTTTAAAGAAATGTCTGTATTTTGAAGAATATTGATGAAACAGCTGCATATCTAATGAGATTTTATTCATGTATGTATTAAAATGTACTGTCATATTCTTATCTCATTACAATGCATAAAAGGAAAATATTGCTAAATTAGATAAATAGGCTATAATAGTGACCTCTTTAGGCTAAAAGCTTGTTTGGCAGTGAAATCTAATACTAAAAGCAGTCGTAAATGTCAAGTTGCGTGAATACAGTTTGATGTTCTTTGTGTCCAACTCTTATATACTAAAAGGTAAATACAGTATTTATAAACACAATATCAGGAATTTCATAAAAGTACATCTACAGGCATTTTAACACGAATGTATTGCTATAAGCACATAAAATTCATATTCTGTCCAAATCAATTCCACAATCTTACTGGCTTAATTAACAAAATAGTGTCTACAAAAACAGCAGTGACAGAATATTACAGTCACGAGATATAAGAAAGCTAATGATTGTTTATTGGATAAAAAACATTGTAATACAAACATAAAGCAAAAGACGTGATTAAAACTGTAGTTGAATAAACTTTTCAGCTCGTGATGTATTTTTCCAGCATTCACTCCTTAGGTATGACTGCTCAGTTTGTATACATTTGTTGCAATTTCGAAAGTTTAAAATAGTATAATGTCAAGACGTTTCGTTTTCAGTTTTTGTATGTAATATTAAACCAATATTACATCTTCTCAACTCTTTATCTATTCCATATATTTTATTTTCTAATTTTTTTTCTAGTAAAACGATGCATGTCCAAACAGTGTTCATCTTCTGGGGAGGACATCTTTTCATTGCTGAGTTTAGATTAGGTGCCTTCATATATTTTAATCACAGTATTTATTCTTTGATCTAAAGTTAAGGATCTTTAAAAAAAAACTTCAAATAATCTTATATTTGAAAGTACATTGTACCTGCTTTGCAAATTGCAAACTTTTTATACACAAGGCTATAGCATATAAGGGTACGGCACAGAATCAAGCTGCTGCTAGTTGCCTGTGAAGGGGTTGTAAGACTCCCCTTCCGTTGCCTTTGAGCCAGAACCCTCGGAGCCCCCAAACCAGAGATATAGTGAAACCATTGACGAAACAGGATATTAAATTACTTTGTCTGGTGGAAGCTTGATTTAACTGATTAAACAGCAGACAAGGCATGCTCTAGTTAGCTCTGAACACTGCAATCGGCAAGATTTATGCCGTTAGCTTCGTCCAGCTACTGGTCTAGGATAAGGTCACTCTAAAATAAACCCTAGTATTCTGATGGACCTTGGAAGCTCAATCTGAGGGTGTATCTATACCTCGCGACAGTTTAAGTTAAGGGATGCCTCTACCTGCCCTGGAAAGGGATGCCCAATAAAAGGAGGAGTAAACATAGTCCACTCAACCCAACCTGGCTGGACTACCACACAAAGTGGACCTCAAATTTTGTGGTCGAGTAAAGCATATGAAAAGGAAACTCAAATTTGCAGCTTGGAATCTCAGAATTCTCTTAGATCGAGAAAATAATTGCAGACCTGAACGACATACTGCTATAGATTATAAAGAACCGTATAGATGTAGTATCGACATAACCATGCTCCAAGAAACACGGTTTAAAGGAACAGGAGAACTACACCTGTTTTGGTCTGGCATGGGTGACAAAGGGAGAAGCGATGCTGGAATGGGATTTGCAGTAACCAATCATATAGTCAAACAGGTGGAGTCGTTCCCTCCTTGTATCTCTGAAAAGCTGATGAAGTTGCAACACCCATTGTCCAAGAAGCGTTTCATCACCATCGTGTCGACCAATGCACCAATAATGAGAACAAACGAAATTTACCTAAAAGAATAGTTCTATGTGACCCTAAGGGATCTATTGGATTCGGTTGCTAGTAGTGACAAACTTTTAGTTCTTGGAGACGTCAATGCTCGTGTTGGTTCGGATCATTAAACTTGGAACTGCATGCTAGGCCACTTTGAGAGAGGAAAGATAAATTCAAATGGAGAATTACGTCTTAGCTTCCATACAATTTGTAGTTTCATTTGGTGTAAATATGAGCCATAAGTGCAAAGTTATTCAACAAAAATCGCGGAAATTTGATGAAAAGTTTGTGCACGTCCATGCAAAAGTCACGAGAGCTATCGGCCTAACATTTTTACTACAGCTTCACTTAAAAGTAAAAGCGGACCATTTTTAGCTTTTTGTCATTCGGATTAAAGACAGCTGATTTAGACCAGCAAAACTATAAGGTGATAGGATGTGCAGATACATAAGTATTGGTTAGACCAAGCAAACTAGATTAGCAGTTTCTAGCTCAAGTTTTCAAAAGAATCATACAGGTGGACGATTATTATTCATTGTTCACTGCCAACTTTTGAGCACAAATCTACTACATTTTATGAAATTATCCTAATTATTTATGCTAATTGCTTAAGCTAATATCACGTGACGCTAAATGCTCTTTAATAACTTTTAGTCAATACACACCAACAAGCCCCAGCAAGTAAGAAAGTGACACTCGATAGTAACTGACATTGGCTTTAGAATCGCAACCCTATTATTCTGACAGACCTATACTTTACAGAACCAACCAGATCCATTAAAATATATGGTGGTAGGCTTTCCTCTCCAAAAAAGAAAAAAAAATAGCTTCCCTTATACTAACGTCATGGAATTTAGATTACAATTTCTTGTTATCACCCCCATACAATCAGTAAAGCCGTATCAAGCATCATATCTAATAAAAAACATCTTAGGTGTGAAAAAATGGTGCAGCCAAAAAAAAAAAAGAATTGAGAGCACAAATTAAATGAATGAAGTCAAAACTGACAGCCGAACTGGTAGCTATATTTATAGCATTGATAAGAATTTTACAGCAAATATTCATTTATTAGTTAGCCAGGCAGCGTATTTTTGTTCAACTTGGGGCATGATGGTGTGTAAAGCAAAAAACGTGGCGTAGCTAACTAATGAATGAATATTTGCTGTAAAATTCTTATCAATGCTATAAGTATAGCTACCAGATTTCATTCCTTTAATTTGTGCTCTCAATCCCTT